ATATGGAATTCGTAATGAATTTGGCATTTTTTCCCCTAGTGACTGGAGGTGGTGGTGCTGAGGTGGCAGAGGTGGCGGCGATTTGTTTTTTTGAGTTTTTATTTTTTTTATTTTTTTTTATTTTTTTTAATTTTTTGAAAAAAAAAATTAATTAAATTTTCAATATCGAAATGTTTTTCTTAATTTTTTAGTATTTTTTACAAATTTTTATTAATTTTTATTATTTTATTAGGAATTAAAACATTTTAATAGCTATAAGGGTGTAATTGTCCAAGGTACACATAATTAGTCCTAGGCAAACATAGTTTATTTTTTGGTCCTATTTGTGAAAAGTGAATGACTTTTAGTCCTATTTTGATAATTAACTCAATAACTATTTTGACTGATAATTACTTATTGAGTTAATTATCAAAATAGGACTAAAAGTCATTCACTTTTCACAAATAGGACCAAAAAATAAACTATGTTTGCATACGACTAATTATGTGTATCTTGGACAATTATACCCTTATAGCTATTAAAATGTTTTAATTCCTAATAAAATAATAAAAAATAAAAAAATTCGTAAAAAATACTAAAAAATTAAGAAAAACATTTCGATATTAAAAATTTAATTAATTTTTTTTAAAATTAAAAAAATTAAAAAAAAATAAAAAAAAAATAAAAACTCAAAACAATTGCCACCACCTCTGACGCCTCAGCACCACCACCTCCAGTCACCAGGGGAAAAAAATGCCAAGTTCATTACGAATGCCATATTTATGGCAGAAAAAAATGAAAATGTTGGCATTCAAAAAGAGAAATATGCCACTTTTTTTGCATTTTCAGAAAAAAATGGCATTTTTTTGGGAAAATTGCATTTTTTCATCGGTCGGAGGTGGTGGTGCTGGGAGGTAGTACAGGCGGTGGGAAAGGCATCCATATTTTTTTAATTTTTTTTACGGAGTTTTACTATTTTTTATTAATTTTTTTAAAAATAAAATTATTTAAAAAAAAAGGTTTTTGAATTTTTTATTTTATAAAAATTTTATAAATTTTTTAATTATATTTCTACGAATTTTTGAATTTTTTTCGAATTTATTATGAATTAAACATTTAATTATGGCTTTTGACTATTTTTAATTCATATTTAATGGAAGGGTAAGAATGGAATGAAAAAATAGGTATGTTTCCAATAGGACTCATATGGAAAGAATTGTATATGAATATCAATGAGAGGGCTTCTGTTTTTCATTACCCATTGACTTCTTAGGTTGCTATCAATCTTTTAGACAACATGCAGTCTTTCTACCTGACATTTGTGTGTCTTGAGTTGCTGATCTTTTCATTATTTTTTGATATAGAAGTGTCACATTAAACAACACCTTTTCTGCTCATACAAACAATGATGATATGAGAAAACTTATGGACAAGGATGAATTTGACAACACATATAAAGAAGAAAGAGTCACATGTTGAGGATTTAAAAGATGATGCAACTGCTCCTGCAGATTCTGAAGCCAATCCGTGAGGGATAGTATGAACTTTGTTGCAGCGAAAGCATTTTTTTAGGGTCTGTTAGATAGAGGTTTTGGATGGGAAGACTTTGGAATACATGGTCTTTAACTTGATTAATAGAATATTTATCAAGATATAGACTAAAAGAATGTTTGGGAAACCCGCATTTCAGCTATTAGAAAATAATTTCATATCCTTTTTAAAATCCAACATGCTTGGGTGATAGGTAATTGAAAAAAAAACCCGTGAAATTCTATCTGTTGAAGAAAAAATGACTTTTTGTAGAATGATTCAACACCTTATCTTCTTTCAGTTGTTTTGTCATATTTTTTCAAGTGGTATTAATTATTGTCACATTAAGCCACTCTTGAGCAAATTTTAGCCAATCAAAAACTAATTCTCATTTAGTTAATTATTATATAATTAATTATAACAACAATCAATTATCATGCTATTGATTGTTTAGATAATACTCCCTCCGCCCAATTTATTTGATATTCTGGTTTCTAACGTTCGTCCCCAATCATATTCTGAAAAGCCTTTGCATCCGATCTCCTCCACAAGCCTCTATCCAAACAAATTCTCTAAAACCTGCATTAGTGTTTTAAATTATTAGTCCTTCTTTATGAGGTCCTGCTACTATTAAATTATTATTCTAATATTTGTCACGTCTCTGCAGGTTTTGGGTGAAGTTTCTAAGTCTATGTTTCGAGCTCCAGTTGGTACTCAAGTTTCTTAACTGTACTTCAAACAAGAGAGGTTTTATCACTCTACCTCCATCATGAACAATTTTATCAAAGATGGAGCCTTGTGTTTAGTTAATTAAAAACTTTAGAAAATATCTTGAGATGGCAAAGAGGGCAGTAATCCATCAGAAGAAGTAATGGCACCGTCTATTCTTGCTATATATGAACTTGAAATTTGATTCTCTCCCTCCAAATGAATGGTGAGTTTCAATAGTTGTTTGCAGGCAAAAGGTGTGTTTACTATTACTTCCATTTCAAGTTTATGTTTTAGACCCCTTAAAACTAGAAAGCTTCTCTCTTTGTAGCTCTTCAGATGAGGAGGACAATGACACAAATAATGTCGATCAAGATGCTAAAGTAGACGCTCCTTCCCCAAGAGGTGATTTAGTTGAGGCATTTCTTGATGAGAAAGCTGAGGAAGAAGATGATAATGACTCTGCAAGTTTACCTTTATTTATACTACTTTTAGAATATTTGTTCTTAAGAATAGCTCTTTTAAGATATTTGTTCTCAAGAATTCCTCTATCTTTATTTATACAGAGTACTACTTTTGATATTAGGACTCCCAATTTTAGGAGGTTTTTTATTGGTCAAGTAAGAAATGGGTTATTTGCATTTGTGTATGTCTTAACAACTTAATGAAAGCTAATAATGACAGTGATATAAGTAACCAAGGGTCAATCCTGATAAATAAGGAATGATTAGATATTAAAAATAGCTATTTTTAACTATTTGTTCTTAAGAATGCCTCTGCCTTTGCAGATTTACCTTTTATTTACACCAATTTTGATAATAGGACTACCAATTTTTGAAGGTTGAAGGATCTAAAAAGTAATTAAGTATTGAAGGGTCTTATCGATGATTAAGGGGGACCTATTTCTATCTTGCAAGAAGTTATTGTAAAGATCTTTTCAAATTTTTATAACAAAATATTGGTTGGTTTGGACTTTGGAAATGTAATCTTCCGTAGGCAATTTCCTTTGATGGTTAGATATGCAATGACAATAATGAACAAGAGTCAAAGATGGTTATTAGTTGTTGTTTCAGGGGTGAAAATTCCATTGGGATTGAAGTTTGTGGTATGCGACAACGAAAAAAACCAGAAAAATTACAAAAGTATTCTCTACAAAGAAATCTCCAGTAATTTATGAATTCAGTGCATATTAAAATCCTAATATTTGTTATTATTGATTTATTAATTAATATTAAAGTTTTTATTTATTTGTTATTAAAATTTCAAAAAATATTATGATCTAATTATGTTTATCAATTAACATTTATAATATCTTCATTTTACATCCCGTGCAACGCACGGGTAAAATACTAGTACACATATAATAGACATTCACTAGACGAGAGTAGTTTAGACTTCAAATCAAACTTGACTAGATTTAAACAGGTCAGACTAGAGAAGTACAATCCAATTGAAAATATATTCTCAAAGTACATATAGCAAAATAAAATTGTTTTCCTTATTTGTTAAACAACATCGAAACATATCAATTTATTCCACTTTCTTAAGTAACATAACTGTACAATGTTAAATAGTATCAAACATATGCACGGTGCGCATGTATAATTAGAGAGATAGACACATAAATATTAATGAGCAATATATATCTCTTTATTTAAAATGTCATATATTTTTGATAAGTTTTCTCTACAATGTCAAGATGGATATATGTCTAGATGCAGATATTGTGGTTGACATTATTCTAAAAAAGTTATCAAAAATATATGAAATCATGGAAAGAAAGAGACATAAATGTGAATAATTTATTTTTCTGTGTCTATATCTCTCATGTCACATGTGTACCACACATATTATTGCATCATAGATGCTCTAAAAAGTCAAAGAAAAATGCAATTTCCTTAAACATTGTGAAAGTAAAATTAAGGAATTTGAGAAATCGGACTTCACTTCTCATTATGAACCATTCGTGCTTCAATTAGCATCCTAATAGTGGTGAGTTGTTTCACTAAAACTTTATAACTGATAATTGAATTAACATTTGGGTGTAGCGCTGATAGGAATAGAGCCCATTAGGCTAATAATAGAAATAAAAATAATAATAATAAGTTTACATGTAGTATAAATAGATGGGGTGAGGAGGAAAAATAGTAGGCTGTTTAACAGTTAGATTGGACTAGGAGAATAGAGATTCATTGTCTCTTTCTTTGGGGCTTCGGCTGTACTCCCTTTCACCATTAATAAAGCTTTGAAGTTGCTCCTTGAATACTTTTCAACTTTTCTGTAAAATTTTGTATACATAGAGTTGTTCTATCAGTGGTATCAGAGCTTGTCAATCACCGTGGGTGATCATTACGCGTGCAAAAATGGAAGGAAGAATGAACGAATTCAAAAGGTAGCAACAAGAAACAACGACAACAAATACGACAATAACAACGACCATGACAACGATACAGGCGAGCATCGCAAATCTGAAGAATAAAATCTAGTCATTCGCAAAGCAGATCGCATGCATCTTGAGCTGAAATTTTATTAAGATAATTTAAACTTAATAAGGAGCGTGCTCATAAAATTTTATTTAATTGACTTGCAACTGAATTTTCATGAAGAACACTTCATAGATTTACACACACACACATATATTATCAAATAAGAAAAGTCTTAATGTGAAAAATATGAATGATTTTCATGCATTGAATTTTAGATCTAATAGCTATAAAAGTACCTATAATGCATCAAATTTGGTTAAAACGCGAAGTCATTTACATAAATAATTGAACGTTTTTGTTACCATGAAAAAGTGTAGTATTAGAATGGAAATGGCAGCGTAGCGAAGTAGAAGTGAATTTTTTTCACTTTTCGCATTAAACATGTAGTCATGTACACCAAGAATTGTCCATACCAGAATACCTCAATACCAAACTAATCCTATTCGAATATAGATTTAGTTGGTGATTGTCTACAAGTATAGTACTCAGAAAGAAACATATAATGATCAACCATAAAAACATAGAAATATACAATGATCAACTAGAAATGAAGTTATTAACAAACTACATGGGAGGAGGGTTAGTCCACCTTCTCTTCACTTCAGACTTCCACCTAACTTCCTTGAGTTTCCCATCTGTTCCATAATCCCGTTCTAGGACCAAGTTTATTCCCTCATCTGAATACCACCCAACTCCAATGCACAATATTCCATCCTCTTTCACGTCAACAAAGCTGGTGACACCTCCCGGCAGCCACAGAACAGTAGCATCTTGCATGTCTCGCAACTCTTCCTCCCCAAAGTGAACGATGCTTTCCGGCAAACTTCTTTTCTTTAGATTCTCGGTACAGAGGTATACATACGGCACAACATTGCTAATTGTACAATCCCCCTCGCCGTAAACTGGTGTGGCACTCATCTCAAGCACCTTCCATGACCCAGCCAGCTCTCTTGGTTGAACTCTCCTCCTCTGTGAAAATGGCTTCATTTCCATCTCCGTGTCACTGTTGACATCATGAGTCTCAAGTTAGAATCCCCAATCAAAAACTCTCTGGAGCACTTTGCAGTAGCCAGTAAGCATCGTGAAACACAAGTGCGAATTCGGTACTTTTATGATAGTAGTGGTGTTGTTGGACATAAAAGATATTTGCTTTAAAAGAATCCAAAAATATTAAAAAGTAATGATGGACATTTGTATTTTACTATCAATATCGGAAATTCTATGGAAAAGAGGGGTTTTCCAACATAATTACAAATGTAATAATTAATAATGTAATATAATGCTCATTGACAAAAATGTTACTACTTTTTAAAAATTCCAAAAAAGTGAATATGCATGTAACTTTAAAAATGTCACTGCAGACGATCATTTTAATGTCACTGTCATCATCAGTGACCAGTGGAGAGGGCAGTCACCTGGATGCTGGAGTGAGAAGAAACTTGAATAGATTTAAGGTTTTGTAGTTACTTGATTACTCTTTTGGAAAAAATAAAAGCTAATCATATTTTTTCATATCCATTATTATATTTCTTACTCCGTATGTTATTTTTATCTTTTAAGGTTTTGTAGTTACTTGATCACTCTTATGAAACTATTGATACTTCAGGTATGAGCTATTTATCAGTCTAACACATTGTGAATTTTTTTCGTAGAGAATTTCGTTACCACATTCAATATTGAATGAGGATGTTGTATTCAATATTGAAGATCCCAAACTAAGAAAATAATGAAAATAACGAGATACATATATCATACTCTGTAGCATGCAACACATTGTGACATGATAAAATTTGATGTACTCCGTAAAGATTTATAAGAAGTAGGAACAACAACAAAAGCAAAAACGGAGTCTGTCTTAGAGCCGGATGAGAAATGCAACTCAATAGTCTAGACACAAAACTACAACCAATCCATTATTGAAAAGATGCATGCAAGATTGTTCTCCTCAAACGGCTCAAAGCCACATATAAGTATGCTAATAAACTAAACTATTCTTTGAAGATACTGAACAATACCTGAGGTCAGAAAGATTGGTCGGACAAACCCATTGTTCTTCATAAACAGCAACTCTCAATATCTGAATATCAGAACCCCCATTACTGAATTCTATAGTATGAACCATGCGGAGTCTCTTATGGCACCCTTTGACCAAACACTACACAGTAAAGTAGGAGCCAGTTCAATAGTATAAGTAATAACCCCATCAAATGTATGTAAACATAGAAATACCAGTTTTCTACATTTAAAATTTTGAATTGTAGAGCATATTAAATGGTTAATAAGAACCGAGTATAAAAACTTACTTGTTCAAACTTGAATGTTGAGGAAAGATAATTATTTGACATGTCAACTTCACCAACAGGAATATCTACTGGCCCTCTCGAGTAAGATCCATCCTTCAAATTCAGAAACTTTGATTGGACGAGATTTTACATGATGAAAATGGTACCCCAATAACTATAGCATGAGTCATTCTAATCAGAGAACTGGGTTAGTTTTACCTCAAAGAATAGAAGACCAGGTTCCATTCCCATTATATCCTCCTCCATCACGTCACTCTTTCCAAAGTCAAAAGATTCAAACTTTGGCAGCTTGTTGTTTTTAAGAGTTTCTTCTGTCATCCTCCTCATACCCAAAGGTCTTTCTCCATCCAACTCTGGAATTTCACCATAGGGATTCAGCGATACCCAATTGACTGTCCTCTGGATGTGGGAAGTTTGACCATCCTCAGCTGATGAAGGAAAAGCTTCAACACGAGTAAGGGTATAACAGTCAAAGAGGTTCTCATTCTTGTCACCCACTTCAATTGGCTCAATTTCTGCAGTCACTGGAGAGAAGACTGCTCCCACTCCCTTCCATATGCCACTAACACTACTTGCAAATGTATTCCATATGGGCCGAATGACAGGTTCCTGAAAACGACGATAAATTTTAGCATATAAAAAAACTAACCCAAAATTAAATAAATGGCGGAAGAAGTGTATCACAGATTCACAGTCCCTTTCTACATTTTGTTAAGTATATACTAATGCATCTGTTCTAATCAACAATATTTATTGTTGTGAAAGAGAAGAACACAAATAATAGCCTAGCAGGAACAAGTGAAAGCGTCCTAAAAAATATGCTATCACTTAAAATTATAACAAGTCAAAACAACATGTTGTGCTTCCATGAAACAATGAATGGATAACTAACTATATACACTATAAACCACTAATATATCACTTAAGAAACAACACAAGCACAAACAAATGCTACAATGGTACCTGCATTTAGAGCAAACTACCTGAGTTTGTAACACTGTTTCAATCTCAATTAACATAGCACTGGATATGGTGATTCGTCCATATCCACTCTTCTCCGAAACGTTCCTCATCATTCTCCTATCTTTTCCTCTCTTCTTCTTTCTGGCCAACTTCTCATTCTCGGCATTTGCGACTTTGTTGTCAATACTCCACACATTATCCTTGCCCTTGCCCTTCTCTTTCAGTTCCACATTCTCCCTAATCTTAACCCCTCTTTGCACGCCTTTCTCCCGTTTAATACTGCATGTAATAAAGGGGTAGAGGCAATTGGGCTTCCAACCTGAGAATGATGTTGGAGGTGAGGCGTGAGAGTAAGGTTTCACAAACTGCATCTGGTTAAAGGGATTGGAAGCACAGATGCATGGGGAAAGCATAGTTCTTTCTTTGTTCTCTATAAGTGGTTGACTATGCAAGTATGATACAGATTCTGAGGATATGATACAGAGAATAAAAAATGGATCAACATCATTTTCAGATTTGAAAAATAGAAAAGGTTGATGAGAACAATCCAAACTATGGCAAGAACTTGGGGATCTAGCAATTGAATTTTGGGTGTTCGAATTACTTTGACATTACTTTTTGTGTAATAGTATGGGTTGACGAACAGCTCCACATATGTATCTTTATGAGCAATAAAACTAGTAAATAGAAAAATCACCAAACTTTTCTTGACCAGCATTTAAACTAAAAGTTCTCAAAATTTTACCCAAAAAAGATGTAAAATATAGGATTAACACCCTACCATCATGTGAATTCAACGACCATCATACTCATATTGATGTTGAACCTACCTACAGACTGCTGACTGTGAAATGGAAACAGAGTACATACAGGTTGCTGACTATGAAATGGCAAACATAGTGCCTACTACCTCAACTGAACCAACGTAATCGCAATATAGAGAGTAATAGCTTCACATTGAACCTACCGGCTACTATCTCAATTTGAATCTACATGACCATAAACTTTGCAAATTAATACCGTCACATTACTATGTCAAATATACATTTTTACACCTTCATTGCATTAGTGACATAAAAGGGAAGACCGATGAATGAAGGCATCCTCACAAAACGAGGGTTCGACGAAGGTCCCACCAAACACAAAACGAGGGTTCGACAAAGGTCCTGCAATAACTAATTAACTATCCCTGTCTTTTTTCAGCAATCCTAAAAATATGCATAAAAAAAACTTCCTCTTAACAATATCAAAGTGTAGAACAATTGAAGTAATCTGCCATTATATGAATTTCATGATCGACTTACTCATATTGAGATATTGAACATACTGGCTACTAAATATGATATGACATACAAACAGTAGGTTCAATAATTCAATTGAACCCAAAGATTCAATTTGAACCTTTTACTCTCTAATAGTGAAAAAGCTTTAGGGTGAAACCGTGAAATAAAAGAGCACAAGCTTTAGTCCATAGAGAATCTCACAATTTGAAGCTTTAGTGTTTTCAGATCTTGCTTCACAGTGCACACTGTAGAACAAGTGGTGAATGTTACCCTTTATTCACCTTCCTTCTTGGTTTTACTTACCCAGACCGACCCTTCCTAGAAGGTTGTGCCCCTGTGGGCCGGGAATTGGATAATAAACTTGTAGTTACAGTAAATGAAAAGATTTATGGAGTTACAGGTATTACATAACTTACATACAAGGTAAACTCCAATGGTGCTTATATAGCTCTCCATGTATGTGTCATCCTAACAAAATTTATAAGACAGTTTCAGTTTTGTGACGATTTTTAGACATCATTTATGTTCCCAAACTATGGGGGTGTTTGGTAAATGGCGCTTCAGCCAAAAAATGGCAGTTTGACCACTTTTAGCGTTTTCAATAAGTCAAAAAATTGTTTGGTAAATAGTTGTTCGCACTAGCGTTTTTGGACGGAAACGCTACAAATAGAAGAGTTTAGGGTTAGCGTTTTGAAATATGGCATTTTGTACTAATTTCATGACCAATGAAGGTGTAAAAATGTAAATTTGACATAGTAATGTGAGGCCGTGAGGGTATTAATTTGCAAAGTTTATGGTCATGTAGATTCAAATTGAGATAGTAGCCGGTGGGTTCAATGTGAAGCTATTACTCTCTATATTGCGATTATGTTGGTTCAGTTGAGGTAGTAGGCACTATGTTTGACATTTCATAGTCAGCAACCTGATGTACTCTCTGTATGTACTCTGTAGGTAGGTTCAACATCAATATGAGTATGATGGTCGTGGAATTCACATGATGGTAGGGTGTTAGACTGTTAGCCAAAACGTGTATGTGTCACCATGCGCCCCTTTTTTATGCACATGTTATCTCAGGCTGCAGATGTTTACGATGGGAAAAAAGGTGTACTTGATGATAAAATGTGGCACTATGGTGACATAGCGGACCAACCATTTAGGTGCAACAAGAAGCTGTCATACCAAGAGAGCCCTGCCAATTTCAGCACCACATTTCAATGTTCTTCACAGAACAAAATCCCTACATCTCTGTCTCAGATGCCATCATCATTGATTTGTGTACTTGAAGGTTTATCTATTCTTCAAAATATTTCCATCACGTTATTTGAATTTCAGCATATTTAATATGAAAGAGAGAAACTGTACTTTAGCTCCTTGGAATCTATAAGCTCAATTACTGATTGTATACTAAGAAAGCTGCGAGTGTTACTAATGGTCATCTCACTTGAGTGTACTAAAATTGAATTGTTAGAGGATGTACAAATAAAGTCATCTTTAAAGAAAAACAAGGAGAAACTTGGCTCCAGCAACGCTTAAAAAAGAAGGAAGAACAGTAAAGTTAAAAAGAAGAATCATGTTTCGAAGCAAGCAACAAATGATGTTGCACTTGTGGAACGTCTTGAGGTACCCACACTATGTCTCTATTCTAGTATTCTACTATCATATTAAATAATTTTGTGAAGTATAAATGCTTCAATTCACTATCCTAATTTTAAAATGGTTTATTTCAAGGATGATGCATCTGGATTGGCTTATGGTGAAAAGATGTTGCACTTGTGGAACGTCTTGAGGTACCCACACTATGTCTCTATTCTAGTATTCTACTATCATATTAAATAATTTTGTGAAGTATAAATGCTTCAATTCACTATCCTAATTTTAAAATGGTTTATTTCAAGGATGATGCATCTGGATTGGCTTATGGTGAAAATGGAAAGATTTGTTCACCTAGTATCTTGGATGACAAGGTGCAGCAGTTGAAATTTGTAAAAGATACTATTCCTGCAACACTTCACATGGTTGTACTTGTCTCTTCCATATGGACAACATACTAAAACTACCCCAAGCATTTCTAGGAAGAAAAAAGAAAGAAATAAACATTAAGACCAACTGGATATGAAATTTTAAAATACACCTAACTAAATTAATCAGGTTTATTTTTATATTAACAACTCCAAGCGATGCATCTCTCACCATAGAGTAATAAAACCTCAAAGCCTCAAAGCGTATATTTTTAAAAGTATATCTTTCTACTGCCTTAGTTTTAATAATAGGCTACTTGAGTAATAAAACCTCAAAGCGTTCATGACAGCCTAATTCCTATACTAATAAGGCAAAAGAGAGATTTTGAAGCTTAACTTACTTCAAGAAACCAAGGGAAAATACAAGTGCAATTTTAAAGAAACACAAATTTGTTGGTTCTTGTCAAAAATCAGTTTTATATACTGGTTCATTGCTTGACAATGAGGTTTTATATACATATCCTATCAGCAAAGATATTCCAACACCCATTGATTTCCCAGGGAAATAAGTACAGACTAAGGCAGCCATTGATAAACAATGAAAAAACCCTAAGAACAAAATTCAGAAGTATAATAGGCAGAGTGAAAATTCACGAATTTCATGAATCCAATCAAATTCGAAATTTTAACAAGGTAAAGTGAAAATTCCATTTAATTTGAGAGCTTGCCTTTAAGTCGTTGACAGAACACGAGCAGACGGAAGATTTGGGATATTCCGTGATGTCCCGGGCTCCTAGCAGCGATGCTTTCTGGGTCTTCGATTGAACGCAGGTCGGAGGTGAACGGTAATTTAATGAAACTTCAAGGCATTAATTAAGAACTACAACCCATTTAATTGATACAGTCTAATTTTTTTTCGGTGACATTTTTGTAAATTAAGCGATAAATCACGGCTAACGCTAAATAAACAATAATGTACTTTTAGTGAGCATTTGACCTATTTTATTGAGTATTAGGAGGCTAATAATGAATATCACGATCTTTGCTTCATATCTTCTAATTCTTTTTCTTTTTCTTATTTTTTCTTTTATAAAAACTTATTAAATTATATCTATAATCCACTCTTATTAATTTCAATATGCGAGTCTAATGTAATATAATACTTTTGAAATATACATTGATATGCCATTGTAAAAATGAACATAACATGAGTACCAAATGAGCATACATAACTTACAAAGTGCACATTAATATTAAATTGTTAGATTTGTTAGATGAAGATCATGACATTTTAATTGAGCATCAAACCTCCACTATTGAGATGAAAATCATCATGACTTCAGGAGAATGAGTAATAATGAACTTTTAATGAGCATCAAACATATTATGTTGAGCATCAAACCTCCTCTATTGAGATCAATGAACATTAATGAATTTTCAATGAGTATCAAACCTATACAAATGAACATTCGTAACTTACAAGATGATCATTGATATGAAAATGGTATGTTTTATTTGTTGAACATCAAGATATTTTCAGTGAGCATCGAACCTCCATTATTGGGTACTAGAATCATGAAATTGAGTATCGTGGTTTGTGATCTCGTGTCTATAATCAAATTCCATGCGAATCTAATGTAATATGAGACTTTTGAAATATGCATGGATAAACATTTTAAAATGAGCATAACAAAGGTACTAAATGGACATACATAACTTACAAAATGAGTTTTCAAAAATTGAAAAGTTCATTTGTATATATTTATTCTTTTTAGACGTTATAATTATTTGAGTTTAAAATAAAGAAAAAAAGAAAAAAGACAAAAAAGTAAATAACTAAAGTAAATTAACTAAAGTAAAAGTAACAAAAAAGTAAAATAAAAGAAACGAAAAGAAAAAAGAAAGAAGAGAAAAAAAGTCACGAAAAAATAAAATAAAAAAGACAAAAGAAATATAAAATGAACTAGGATGACGGGATGGAGGCTAAAAAATGAAAAAGAAGGCCTTTTTTATCAATATTACTACTATCATACGGATTTCCACGAAAGTGATTAGTGTTTAAAAAGTACAAATATATGACTCTGAAGCAGTTAGAGACCACCGAAATAAAAGGCTAAAATGTAACTCCCATACCAGCGTCACTCATTTTTAATGCAAAAAAAAGGGAAGTTTCCATTGACGATATATTACCATTTATGCCATCCTCAAATGAATGAAATAAGTAAATGTAAATCGTGACTAATGCAAAAACATTGCTCACCCTGCAACTCAAGTCAAACCTTGTTTTAGTGACTTTGTTATGTGGCGCATAAGTAAGTTTAGTGACTTTGTTAAGTAATTGATAGTTAGTTCATGGCCTCGCAGTTACATGTACTCATAATCTATACGTTGGGTGTAAATTCATTAGTTTAGTTTAGTGACCAACTAGTTTAGTGACTTGGTTAAGTAATTTACTTTTTTAAGTAGTCGCTATTTAGTGACCAGTTTACGTATTTATGATGTGAGGAGCATAGCGATAGTTTGTTCATGACCTCCCAGATTTAGTGACTTTGTTATGTGGACACCATATAATATCTAGTGACTCCAACCTCTTCACTTTCGATGGTAGTGCCGTAGTCTTTGGTAAACCCGATCACGTCTGATGATAACGACTTTAGTCACTGTTAAACCGCTGCACTCCACACCACAAACCAATCAACAACTCTACCTCCTCCGATCAAAGAACCACGGCCGCTCATCCAAAAACCCATTTTAGGTACTTTCCTGCCATCAAAGCCGTCAGCGTGCACCCACCAAGCCCCTTGACCCCCTGCTCCTAAAACTTCTAAACTCACAGTCATCGAACAACACCGATGAAGACGAATGATCTAAGACTCTGAATTTGGATCTAGCGGCGGCAGCGTTTTGGGCCTTTTGGCAAAAGAAGAAAGGAGGGGGAAAAGATTAGCAGAGTTGTGGTTTCAGCAGCGGGTGGGCAAAGCATCTGCGGCGACGATCATTAATACATAGGCGGAGATAGGCGGAGGTGTGGTAAATACAGAGCATTGTGATTTGTGTTCATGATTATTTTCAAAAGCTAAAATCTTTAGTTTGAATGCATAATGTGAACAGGGAGGTTCAATTCCAAGTAGGAGGGTTGAATGCAGAAAGAAAAGGACGGAATATATGGGTGAGAGAAACTCTTCTTAAATGATTTACACCTCAATAATAAATGTGCTTAGTCACTTTTTTGGAAAACATATAAAGACTCATATTATTGGAAATGAAAAGATTATTAGTAATATAGGTGCCATTTTTTTGAAAAAGAATGGCGGCTGAAACAAATAAAAGCAACAGGGAGTGAGGGAATGAGGATGACGGCAGAAGAAGAATCAGGAAAAGCATAGATGAGAGAATCAGCCTACCACGTCATTTAAAAACCGGGTGTACATGTACACCCGAGTGTATAATATAATTTGCGGAATGAAGTAAAGAGGGTAGACATATATTTGAGAAAATCTTTTGACCGCCTTCTGGCGGTTGAATTTTTAGCTGAAATTTGGTATGGGCAAACTAGATTTAATGAAGAAAATGCTAAAAAAAATTCATCAAAAAATGCCACCGGGAACCTCCCCAAATGGCGACGACTGGACATAGCCTCCTATAAAAGGGGTGATTTGCCCTTTTTCGGTTAGTTCGAGGGCTTATTTGCACCTTTTCCCGCGCTGAAGCAAAGTTAATGCGAGCGAGTAAAGGCTGGTAGACGGAGGAAGACGAGCGAGTAAATACAGTTCACTGTAGAAAATGAGTTTTATAAAATGCCAAAATACCTCAAAGTGGCTTCTCCGTTTCACGAGTAAAAAGGCTAGACATGTTTCATTTATTTGATTTTGAAAAAGGTTAGGTAAACCGATTTTCTAATTTTTCTATCTCTACTTTTCTTATTTTTTTGGAAAAACAGAAAATATTTCTGTTAGTAAACAGACCAGAAGTATTTCAGTTTGGATTTTGGGCATGGATTATTAAATTTCACTTATTTGGGCAGATTGCGTGACTGGGCTGGGTAAGGGGGGGATCTATTTTCTTTTATTGGGGCAGATTTTTTTTTAAACCCGGAAGGCAAACCACCAAAATCAGTGGGGTAGATGTCGAGAAACATCTATCATTGGGGCAGATATATGGGCTAGAATATGACTAATTTGAATATACGGCATAAACTTTAACCATTATTTATCAAAAAAATAAAAAAAATTACCATACAAAATCAATTTCATATATTTCATTGCAATATATATCATACGAAGTATATTATTCGACATAAAAAATGCAATATTTATTCTCAAATGTATATTTATTATAGATTTTATAGGTATATAGTGTGAGATATATAGAATCAACTTGCACCTTAAAGATCGTAAAAGTCGAACTTGTTTATAAAGTGTAATTCCTTATACCGCAATTTTAAAAGGAAGTCATTAAACTATATAAATTCAAACAGTGCAGCGTTGTTACAATCAACCGACAGTTTGAAACTCAGCCATCTATCTTCCAAAAACTTCATCTAGACTCACTAAAACTCATATGATCAGACACTAAGACGGTCACTTCCGAAGAAACAACGTGAGCCGCTCATCACCAAACGAGCAATATAAAGTTCTTATAGACCCTTAAGGTCGCAGTACTCTTCCCCACTTCATTAGATTCATAATGACCGAAAAGACTCCATAGTCCCTGATTAGCCATAGAAAAGTTCACCCAAATCTGAGTGAAACTTTTCACTTAACATACAAGAATTTCAAGGTAATTAACGGCCATGTACATTTCAAGACTGCCACTACCACAACAATTCAAAAACAATGTAAAATGTCTAACGAAAGAAAAATAAAGTTTAAACTAAAAACATAGAGTAAGAAATTGTATTTATCTAAACCCTAGCCGCTCGTTCACTCCATGGTGGTGGTTCAGGAGGGGCAGACCATCAGCATATCACCTTTTTCCTCCAAGACCAGACGATTGTAAGCATGTTGAAAATCATCAAACTCAGCTAACTTCTTGTTCATGTCGTTCTCGGATTGAACCCTATTGATGATTTCAGACTTTTCCATATCTTCTCCGTTGCACGCAGTTATCCAAAACTCAAAAAGGAATATGCCCCTCAGCCAAAAAATTGTTCCCTAGAACGCCGATGTACGGCCACGTAACATCCTAGGCGGCGTAGCGCCTCACTTCCGCTTTTAAATGTGTTGAGAACTTAATAATCTAAAAAATTAGCTTTATAAAAATAGCCTCTTTTATAACACCTTGTAAAAAACTCTCTTTTACATAAAGTACTACCTCCATCTCATAATGTAAGGTACATATAGGTTTGGTGTGAGTTTTAAGAAAAAATACATAAAATGATTGTTTTACCATTATAAGAAAAAGATGAATCCACAAAAAGTAAAAGGTGAAATGATAGATAATGGAATAAAATGAAAATGAAAAAATTAGTGAAGTTCAATTTAAGAAAGTGTTAATATTTTTGGATGAACTCAAAAAGGAAAATGCATCTTATAAAATACGAGGGGGGAAGTATTACATATTGGAGATGTATGAGTGTGAAAAGGGAAAGTTGAGAAAAGGGAATGTTGTTCAAGTGGACCAATTAATACACGCAATCAATCATATAAGAGAGATTCTTAACGCAGTGGTGCATAAACGGCGGTGGGAACCAAGCAAAGTGTTCAAATTATTTGGATTTACATCTCAAGGGGTTGGTGTGGATTTATGGGAGCTCATAACTAATTCGGTGAAATCGA